GGGGGGGGAGGGTATGGCTAGGAATGCATATGTCGCGGAGCGCGTGTGTCAACCCCGTGTATCGAGCACCTGCTGTTGCGTTTCTCGCTTTCACGCGTCGCCGATGCCCGATACGGTCGGCTTGCTCGCTTGCGAGATATGGCCTCGATACCGCGCGTATATCCCGCGCGCGATCGCACGTGGACTCCGCGAGACGGTTGCCAAGTCGGCAGGTTCGCGCCAACGTTCCATCGTCGAGTCCTCCTAAGTCGCATTGGGCCTAAATTATGCTATGAATTTTGGTACACCGTTAACATAACAGAGCGATTTCGATAACACGATTTCGATATAGCGATACGATATGAACGGTACGTACATACATACATTATATCAAAATCGTGTTACATTTAGCGGGAATGCATAATTATATCTTTTTGTTTAACACGTTTGGCTGAAAATAATTGATTTTTATTATCACAGTGAGATTTCATCATGGAGCAACTCAGCGAGGGACAAGCAGTAGTGGTTGGTGGTGCAGGAGGTACTGTACAAGTTGTTCAGATGGGTCAAGGCGGACAGACTATGATGCTTCCACAGGCTATACAGGTAGCAGCGCCCAATGGACAAATCCAAGTAGTTCCTGTCTCTAGCCTGACTAACACCGGTCAGCAGATAGTTATTCAGCAGCCACAGACACCACAGATTATTCAAACCCCTGATGGGCAGACTTATATCTATCAGCCTGTACAATTGGAAGGTCAAGTTCAACAACCACAACCGACAGGTACATGAAAATGCACACCTACTTGTGTATTTTTATATAGACAACTCTTTTTTTTTAAACATATTTTTGATTTGCAGTGATAAATCTCAATGGCAATCTCATGCAAATCGCTGGTACAACATCACAAGCTGCAACTACTGCAGCTACTACTGCCCCAGTACAACCTTTAGGCAGTCCTACATCGACAATGTCACAAACGGGAAATGTTGTTATGGTAATTATTGCTGTATACAAGCTTTTTATTTATCTAATCTTTTTGTATACATACACAATATCAATTGTAATGATTAGAGAGCAATGCTAACTATATATATCACTACTTATATCCTGATTAATATAAGTATATTTTACTTGAATTAAAGAAATTATTGTTTTTGTGTCATAATAATTAATTAATGACATATTCTATATTTTGCAAAAATTAGATGGTGCAACCAGGCAATAGCGGACAAACACAAGCGTTCCAAAGAGTAGCATTACCTCATGCAGAACTTCTTGAAGAGGAACCATTATATGTGAATGCAAAACAATACAGACGGATATTGAAACGTCGCCAAGCACGTGCTAAGCTAGAAGCTGAAGGAAAGATACCTAAGGAAAGGCCGGTATGTACTCTCAAATTTTTCTGAAACATTTCTCTAATATGTAAATAAAATTTACACATATATTTGAATATTAGTTTCGTAAGAAAAAATCTAAATCTTTTATTTTAAACACGTCAATTTTGTATTAGTTTAGACTTGTTATCTATTTGTAATAATTAAATTGCGAAATGTTTAAATAAAGACAAAAATAACATAAGATTGAATTTTGCAGAAATATCTCCACGAATCCCGTCATCGACATGCGATGAACAGAATTCGTGGCGAGGGCGGCCGTTTCCATTCTGGTCAAGTGAAAAAGCGGAAGTAAGTGTTACTTTGTATTTTCCTAATACAAATTTTCTATTCTAAAAGAAAAAAAATAAAGAAGCAGTGTCTCATTGTGGTAATTTTACGCATATAAGAGTATAATGGTTCCAGTAGAGGAAATGCAAACTCCACGATTACCCAGCACATCACAACTTCAACCAGCACCGATAGCATTCATACTGTAGCAATAGCAGCCCCAAATGTAGGTGTACAATATCACGACACAGACAATATGGCATCCACAATTGTAATTGAAGTAAGATAATGCTTACTATTTTTTAATCAGTAATATTTGCGATTTTCTAGTGATGCAAATTATATTCGCCTTTTCTAATTATTTGTTGCAGAAACCAAATATTCCTCTGCAAGACATGATCTCTGATGACGACATTGTTACCTCAAACAATCATATGATATAGATAATATCATAAATTGGAACTCTCAAAACACAAATAAGCATAAAAGGTTAGGTTATGTGTCGATTATATTGGACATTCACATTTTGTAAATATTTTCATCCCCCTAGGTGCAATGTATAATACAAGTGTAATTTTTTCAAAAAGCTGTGTGATTTTTACATAACTATAGATATGAGATTGTATATAAGGTTGCATACAGATATATCTCTTTTATTTCTTCTTTTCTATTATTATATCATACTTAGTTAATAATCAACGATTAAAAATTTTGCTGATAAACTAGGTTTAAGTTAAAAAAAAAAAAAGATAGATTAAAATTGTTTTTCAGCTAATTTTAAATGTGGATTTTAAATTTTTAAAGCGCGATTACACAAATGTATAATATTGGAAATTACAAAACAATAATTATATCTTGCGCATTTCTGATAAGAACATTTTTAAATCAAACTTATATTACTAATTTTTAAATCAACTTCGAAGAAGCTTTCTGCCTATTTTGATCTGCGAAATGTATTGTTGGTCTCCCTGGGACATTTACATGTACATATATATAAGTATCTACAATATATCTCGCACTATTTCCATTTTTATAATAATTTTATAATAGTTAAAAATAAGCATTTGTAACAATTTTATTTAGTAAAAGAATACATACATATTATTTTACTAAAAATTGTCTCGCAAATGCTTAATATATACATATATAAATATTAAATCATTTTTCATATCTAATGAAAATAAACTACAAATTAGATAAATGTATAGCATAATAATCGTATGTGAACAAAGAGATTCTTCTTTTAACAATAAAATATATTTTGTCAAGTTTAATGAGATTTAGATATAGTTAGCAATATTGTAAAGTTAGAGACTGAATCATAAGTTGTATATATCGTGTGCTGGGTAAAATTTTTCATTAGAGAGATTAAATTACTAAGTTAGGATTTTTTCTTATTATTAAAGATACAAGGAATATAAGTATAATGTGAGTTCACTTATAAGTTTTTATTGAAAATAAACAATATTTAATTAAAAATTTGTTTTTTTTTTTTTGTAATAAATTATTAGATTAAAATGCAAGACATTTGCATACTTGTACATAATCTCCCTAATTCAGAGATATTAACTCCTTGATATTTGATAGATAAACGATTTCTAAATGCATAATTTACGAGATTGTATAGTTGGAAATTGTTTCTTCTTTGCACAATTTTATTCTTTTCGAAATTTTAATTACACTTTAACTCTACTATGCAGAATATAAGTTTCAAAACTATTTATTTTATTATTGTTTTTCGTTAATTTTTCACGCTGCTTTACTGTGTTTATCAATTATTATAATCTTGAAAAGATCAAACGATCACTAATTGACTCTTCATTCAAAATATTGACAAAAATTAATACGTTTCCTAATAATTTCGATATGTTTGCGAAGTATCAAATATAAAAAAATATTCAATGGATAAATCTATTAGGTATATGAAATATAAAATATTTACATTTGTCGGCAATTATTTCGCGAAGCGGATCTATATCGAATATGTAAATAATTGCATAAAAGTATAAACTATGTAACTATATCTGTATACTGCGACATGTGTATTGATACAAATGTGAAAAGTTTGTACAATTGTAATTGAAAGTAATCTAGCAAGTAATTAGTGGTTTACTGAAAACTTGAGAGAGGAGTTGCAAGTGAAATTATTATATACAAGCATAAGAATATGAATTCTGTTTTCTAATAACTGGCATACGCTATGATTTATTGTAGTTATGACATCGACCTTGCATATATACACATACATATATATCTTATGTCTCAATTATAAAACTATAATTTTTAAAATTATAAAGCTCAGAATATTTTCGTCGGGAGGGCTAAATTTTGTTTCAATATCAGCGAACATTCCGATTCAGTTATTTCAGGATCCCTTAATGACTTTCGCAATGTAATGCATTCTTTCATATTTGAGAGACTTTCTAGCATAATCCTTTCCCCTGTTATTCCGATCGTATTAATGTACTCGGAATTGCCAGTTCTGCAGAGAGAAGAGTAATATATTTCAGAATTTTAAATATATAATAAAATCCTGTCTCGAATCAATATGAATGTTTTTACGGTCGTTTTACGTACATTACACGAAGAATTTCTCTTTCTTTGGGATTAGGATCCAAGTTGTTGCACGGTTTCATAATTTTTGGCGGCTTTATCAAGTCTCGCGATGCGATTACCCACGGATCTCGGTATGCACGTCTTTGAATTGTCTCTGGTATAATCCAATCTTGCGGTAACGTCGCATCTATACGAGCGCGATCTAATTGCGATCAAAGCATTTATTTTAATGACACAACATTGCGATATCAAATTTAAAGATCAAAAAAGAAACTAAACAAAAAACTAAGAGAGGTATAAATTCTATAACAACTTGTAGTATTTATATATAGCCGAGAGTACACACGATATCGTAAAATAAAATAAAATATTAAATAAGCATAAAATTGTAAATAAGCAACAATGCAATTAGTGTGATAATAAAATTATTATAATTAACGAGTTTTTATACCAATATCATCTTTCCAGTAATCCAATTGATGAACAGTCTTTATTGATTTTTTCTTCTCGCGTTCGATCACGTTTTCATCCGGCACGATTTCTGGCAGAGCGTTTCTTAGATGGGGAAACTTGTCGCGTATCTGTATTTTCGATGATGTACAATTATACAATAATATGCAGCTACATATTTTTTTGTATATAATTAATATTATATCTTTACTCTATTTAAAGTATCAGATGGATCCTCGCTTCGTTCGTTTTCAGGTAATGATCGATTTCCCAGTCGTGTATTCAGATACTGCTTGTACGGTCCGTTCAAGATGTTTAAAGGTGATCGATACTTGGGTAACGGTCTGCATCCAATTGGCCTTTCACCTTTCTTTCCCAGATAATCTTTCTTATAGACCGTCGCAAAATCTCGCGAATCCTCTTCAATTTCCACGATCATTTCCAACGAGTTATTTCGAGCGACTTACATTTCTCGGTGAAATTTAGCAGGCAAACATCGCAATTTATTTTTAAATATTGACAGCACACGCGGTATGTTGCATGGAGCGATACATATCTTTTTATTTATGACAGTCCCGTTTTTTCTTTTTTTCTGACGTGAGAATGTGAAGAGGTCCACATGAAAAAATAAAATAAAATAAAATACGATCAAATGCGGTTATTTTGTGTTTCATAATAAATTCAAAGATTCGAATCTTTCGCAATAAGTATCAAGGTGCTTATGTTCTTCTCTGTTTTGAAGCTTTAGAAGTTAAAAATTATTTATTTAAGTCTTGAAACTCTGAGATACTATTAAACCAAAAGCAGATGCCAAACGAAATATGTTTGAAACTGAGAACTTATAATTTGATATTTGAAAACTTTAAAAATCGATATTAGATTATATATATATATTAAAATTAAAGATTGGAGTTTTACCAATCTAGAGAAAAAAAATTGGAATTTCAATTAAATTTCAATCTCAATCTTCAATATATAATCTGACATTGTTTTTATTGTTAGATTACATACATACTTTGTATAAATAAAAATGTTATAAAACTTGCGATATATAAGTTCTGTTAAATGATGTTTCAAATCATTGCGCAGATAAAAATTAAAAAGATTACTAATGTTTTTACAAGAATTAAAAAAGATTTCTCATCTTTGTCGAAATATAGATTATAATTCCGAGTTAAGCATATATTTATATTATCGATTTACAAATATGAAGATTAGACCTAACTTTAGCAACAGTGTGTCAAATGCGATCGTATTAATACAGTAACGCCATTGTAATGTCGTTTAATAGTCCTTAATCTATGTTTAATTTCTCTCGCCAAAAAGCTAGACCGTAGTACTATAATAGGTACAAGTATACTAATCGTGACATATAGGGCTTAGACACCCGCCTGCATCGCCCGTATAACGAAGTCTCTCCGAGATCTCTGGTAACTCATTATATAGGGGATGTATAATACTGGCTGATGCATGGCACCCTCGTGTATCATAAACGCCAATTAGGACACGACATCGGATTTCCTAGGTATATAGATGCACCCATCTTGACACAAACTTGCTTTTTCACCTCTTTTTTTTGCTCGTTTTTGTAAGATTATATTATATAAGATGTTTCGAGGATATCCGGCATCGTTATCGAAAATTTTGGTAGACTAGTGTATCTCATTTGTGATATTTCGTTTTTTCGTATATATAGCCGGACGTTATCTGTAAATCAGTACTGCACCTTTTTCTCGTATTCGATCTATCTCTAAACTCTAAGATAAGAAAATGACGAAAAACAAAGAAATCGCGATATTTTCGTTATATGAAACGAGCAAAAATTAATAAAACGTTGCTTTTATTTTACTATCTCTTTCCTCTTTTTATCATTCGGTTTTATAATTTTAACGAATACTAAATTTTTTTCTAGTTCTTTTATTTCCCACAACGGTATAATAACTATAATATTGAAATCTTTCTATACAAAACATATATATAAATCAAATAATAGACGAAAAGAAAGGTATCGTTTAATAATTTTCCGCTACGATAACGATATATCTTTTGCGATAAAAATTCACGATTGATTTTGACTTTCAACAAATGTATATTAGAATTTATCCCCAAATATAAGATTTATTTAGAAGTGCAAAGTGACATATTCTTACAGCACGTTTTACGCAAAGTTCAAATATTTATTTGAAAATCATTTTATACACATTTATACCAATTCTGATCTAGTCTGTATTATTTAACAGTTGCTCTAATAAAGTTAAATAAATCTTATTTTATATAGAAAAGGTCGAACTGTTAACTCGATATATAATAAATGCGCCAATCCCCAATGGAGAAGATCAGAATCTACTTTTCGTCACGAAACGCAATGTGTATAGGATCAGACGACTTCGTGTGGTATCGACAAATATGAGAATTTACGGTAATTTCATAATGCGTCACGAGAAGAACCACGAATGTGGTTATATTACGCGAGATATAAATACAATTTATATCCGATAATCCGAACGTGATGAAAGGATATATCGTGCTCTTGTAAGCGCATCGCATCGAAGAGTCTTCCCTTCACGAAACACCCACAAACCGGCTCAATTTGTAGCTTCCATCTCGGCGCTATCTTCGATCTACGCCACCCACGACAGGAGGCCCACTGCTACGTCGAAAGGCGTCATTCTATCCATCTGTTAAATTGCGCATCTACCTTCGACTCGCATTTTATATACGCGAAACTTTGTCTCCGTTAGCAGTCAGGCTTTCATTAATGAGATTGCGACGTGAAGAGACGTCCGACTTTAATTTTGCGACAGATGCAACGTCTGCCTCGAGCGAAAAATCGAAAAGAATGTATAACGAAGCCGAGTATGGATAGAAAACTAATCCCGATATATTTTTTAATTGTCTATTTATTCGTAAATATTGTAAATTAATTTACTAATACTCACATGTTAAAATATTTGTTAAATATAGCAGAGGTATCAGTGTGAGAGTACTGCGACATTTTCAGACAAAAGTAATTTAACTCGATTTACAAAAATAGAAATGATAAATTTTGCATAAATTTTACGAGTGCAATCAATTTACATTCGAATTGGGTTCATTTTATATTTTATGTAATTTAATAATGTTTTGTATTTCTCTTTCTTATTTTTTCGTATTAACGACGCAAACGCTTATTAAGATTGATCTAATATTATAAATAATATTGCGAATATTTGCTCTCGGTATTAAGATAAGACGTTTGTATCGAAACATATTTGGTTAATTTCCGGCCTTTGAGCATTCTGATAATGACAAACCGAAATTGCATATTGCCCTCAAGTAAACGTCGGAAGTTCACAGTCGCCGCAAAGGATTTTATGGCTAAATGATCAAAGTCAGGTTCTCTGAATAATGGATATTGTCCGAAGCGGTCATTCCATTATATTTTCCATGTGTGTTGGTTTAAGCGATAAATTTCTATGTAACTCTCGTGCTCCGAACTTTCCGAATGCAATTCAGAAACTTAATATCAAAGGCGAATACTCAGCAGACAAGTTTTTAAATTACATCGCTGTTCCAGAGGAGAGAATATCATCTTTTTATTCTTAGAAAAGATGTAAAATAAAAGCGAAAATTTGAGATACTAAAGCGCGAGTTTAAAAGGAAAGGTCAGGAGGAAACGCATGTAATAATTTACATATTTTGTACTTACATTGCTGAAACGTAAATAAAAATTTGAAACATAAATATTATGTAATACAATATGATTGATTAAATTAAATATTTAATTTTTTACATAAGGAAATAAATGCATGGTACATGTATAATATTCTCTCGATGTATATATGTAATCTTCTGCCATTTTAATATTATTTATAAATATATTATAGTGACACTTTATAATAATTCTCAAATTAATATCCTCGCTTGCCTTGCAATTTCTTCGCATCGCATATATATCATCACGTCAGCCAGTAAATTCGTAATAATTCCTCGCAAATACAAACTCGAATGTCTACGTAGTTTATTATGCTTTCAACCACCATTCAACAAAAGCACAGAAAGCATAGAGTTTTACTCCGTTCAGGCTTTTACGAAGGGCTTGTCGCACGCCGCAGCTCTCGAGCTTGCCGCGTCAATTCATGTCCGTTACAGCTGCAATGGCACGCACGGAATTGTGCACCGCCGCGTGAATAAACTAAATTGCACATTATTTAGCCAAACAATGCCGAATACACAACGAAATGTTCACGATAATGCTCTTGAACGCCACTAACGAGAAATCATTGTTTCCATTATTCTGCACCTAAAGACCGCAATGTGAAACTTCCCGCACGTGTACTTAAAAACATATATATAAATTATAAACATAATATATGTATATATAAATCATTCTGGCCTATCCCCGCACGTTGATTAATCGAGCGCAGATATTATTGTAATAAAAGGATATCGAGGTACTAATCATCGCTAAATTATAAGCTATTGAAAAAACTTTCCATCAATCTAAAGACTTTCGTGAATTAAATTTGACAAAAAAGCAAGTAAATACCGGATAATGTTGGTCTTCGTTTGAAATAAATATACTTTATATTTTTATTTTAATTTTATATTTTAATTTAATTTTAATTTTAATTTTAATTTTAATTATATGTATGATATGATATTTAAAAAGATTGCTAAAAAGGGCTAATGTAATAAAGGGATCCATTGCTCATAATAAAATCCATCAAAGTTTGCTTCACACATCGCAGGATTTGTCTTAAAATTAATATAAAGGAATGGAACGTTGAAATTTAAAAAAAAAAACTTTATTTTAAATTTCAAGACGATTTTTTAGGAATATCTCTTTAAATATATAAGTTTTCTTTACGCTCCGTACAAGTCTTGTGGATATTTAATTCGGATTATGTGCATAACGATACACATCGTTGATTTGCGCAATCATCTCCGTCGGAGACTTAAGCAAACAAAAAACGTTACGCGAATGTGGTAAACAAATTTGTATTAATTCCGCATATTCAGCAACGGATGGAATTAACAAATTGCGGTCATTTGCAAGATTACGTATCAAGGATGAGCAGATTGAACTAATTATCCCTTTGTCGCATGGGAAGACACGTATGTTGACCCATCCCCGATTTCTTATTACTAAAACGGCCGAAACATCACAACATCAGTATCTTATAATCAGTCTGTAAGTTTCCTAAATTTCAAATTAATATTAGCTATTCAGATTATGAGAGAAGAGTTCATACTGAGTATCTAATATAACAAAGGTCTCGCGCTGCTTCTCCTTTTTACGATATGCAATTGCTTCCCAACTTTTTCGTGCGTCTTTGTGCGCGAAATTTGTGTATCCCGCCTTGTAACTGCCATACCTTTGACATTTGGACTCTGAGAGATGGCCTCAGATAGTTTTAAAGGTTTCGAGGTTGGAAGGGAGACAAAAAAGAACGGGTAGGCAAAGAAAGAGAGAGAGAGGGTGTGTGTCTAAAGTACCAGTTGCTTCGCAACCAGTTGCTCCTCTCCAGGAGTACGAGTCTGCCGAAGTTAGGGCAAACGGCAGCCGAGAAGGATCTCATCCCTCGATTCGAGGGGATGCTCCTGCACCGCACGATCAGACAACGCGCA